AGAAGCGTTAGCAGTGACATCCTGTTGAAGCAGCAGTGGAAGATTACGCCTCTCCCTAGCAAGATCGCCTTGCACTGTCTCGCTCTAAATGCATAGGCCCGTCAAGACTAATTCCCCCTCTGTGCGCGAGATCGTACCTAAAAAGATCTAAGAAATGACAGACTCTATGTCAGATTACAATAGGCGGTGCCGAAGATCCAGATGATCAATAAGGGCCCCTTTGTCTTCTATGTCTCTCCTTTGACACTCTTGTTGCCACAAGGCACGACGGTGGACTGGAGCCAGGAATAGCTTCACTTCGGACTCCAAACCCACATGTCACAAATCCTCCAATTTTGTTAGGAGTAGTTCCAGATAGATGAGTCTCATCGAGCAGCGTAGGGTGAGCCTAAAGTCACCCTAGCAACGGAGATGGGCCACACTGTCTGAGAGGGATTGCTTCAGCTCCGCGAAAGTACCACGGCCCTGATCAACGAGCAAGATCACTCGTTTCACGATATTCTCCAACTCCTCTAATTAGACCAGAACAGAATCTGAGGGTTTAAACTCCGGATCGCAGTCAGGTGTAGGAGCCGAAGGAGAGGCATCACTCCTCGCCCTCTTCGCATCTGACACCTTCGCTCGTGGTACCATCCTGAACAAGAAGGAGACAATCAGCACAGTGCCCCCTCTAACAAGAAAATAGGACAATATATGACGTACGGTCTAAGTGCGTGTCTGTCATCCAACGGTCCAGATTAGGTGGTGGAAAGGAAGATCGTCCATTACACCGCCTTTAATGCGAGATGACGTGCCAATGTCAGTCCAGCTGGCAAGCACTCGAGACCACGATCAGACACGTGGTTACCCCCAAATCAGCATTAATCTCGTCTTCAGCTCGATTTGACTGTGGTTAGAGTTCGCTTATGGCTAAAATTTGCATGTGGCTTGAGTTCGTCTGTAGTTAGAATTCATCAATGGTTTGAACTCGCCTGTGTTTAGAATCCGGCTGTAGCTTGAATTCGCCTATAGTTAAAGGCCCACATGCAACGGCCTCACAGAGAAAGATAAAAGCCGAAAGATAAGAGGCAACGGTGATTAGGAGGAGTACATGCACAAACACATTTGGGAAACCAAAAGAGCATAACGTTCATCCAGGCTTAAAATAATACATTTGAACAAAGTTATGACTACGCAATCAAACAAGTTATAACACGACGCCAAAAGCAAAATTAAGCAAAATTTCTTAACACGGTCTTAGATCTGAGAAGCCTAGTCCAACAAGCTAAAGAACGCAAGCTCTGCTTTAACTGTGGCCACCCTTCTCGTGTGGTCCTCCCGGGCCTTGTCTTCAGCCTCTTTCTGAGTCCGAGCTTCAAAGCTTGATTTGGAAGCAGAGTCTTTCTGGCGCAGTGTTTGAAGGTTTCGAGTTGCCTCCTCGATAGTCCTACCAACATTTACGCTCTTAGATTGAAGCCCCCTCAAGGTCGTCTCCGCTTGCTCCAACTCGACCCTCAGACGGGATACAGTGGAAGTGAAGTCGCCTATCCGCGCCAAGAAGGCAACATGGGATTCTAGATCTGCTATCTCCCTAGAGTGAACTTCCTGCTCCCAGGCCTCCCGATGTCGAATGCGAGACAAGAAGGGCTCCACATTAGCTTTCGGACCCTCTCGTAGCAAGGTCTCCAGACTCGTCAGGCATGACTCCAGAAAAAGGAGCCTCTACACACAGTGTGTGGCAAGCCGGCGTTCGCCCAGCCACCTGAGATCAGCCACATGATCCAGGAGGGACTGTTTGAAGTCATCGTAGGTCCCAATGCTAAGACTGACAAGGGAAATTACCTACTTCACAGTGTTCTCAAATTCCTCAGCGCGAGCCTGTATAGACAAGGAATCTAAGGAAACAGGCTCTTGACCTAAAGCGAGCACCGTAATGGGTGGAACCTCGAGACAAGGTTCGGCTCCAGACGGCGGAACACGGTTTGAAGCGGAGGAAGTCGCGATTCCCTCAGATTCATCGTCAGAAATCAAAATGGGCTCGACCGCACGCTCGTCAGTAGTCGGCGCTTTGTCCTGAACTGCACAACACGATAGCCACACAACAAGGAGTTAAAAGCGAGAAGTATCGACTTGACTTGCAACCCCCTAATCGAACTGCACGAAAGCCTGGACAAAAAGGTACCTTCGGCGACAGCGGCCTCGGTGGCACCCGAGGAGGACACCCCCTTTCCTTTTTTCGAAGCGACTCTCTTCACCTTCGGCGCCATTTCGAGTGCAACGAGAGGAAGCGTAAGATTTATCCGGAGAAGATAACAAGAAAATTACAACCTCCCTTAACAAGGGGAGGGGCATTAAATACTCATGGCCTGGACGATTGTCTACCATTCGATTGGACCGCTCAAAACCGAATAGTTGAAAGTAAGGTCGAACGGTTTGGGATCCCGCGTACGCGGTCGAGATCGGGTAGTTTCTAGACACGATCTCTCACCAACGACCCAGATCAGGCGTGGAGAACGAAGAGGCCCACTACGCCATTTTTAATGCGAAACGACGCACCCACGTCGTCTTAACTGACGAGCGAATTAACGCATAAATTGACACGTGGCCCACTAAGAACGGAGCCCGCCCACGAGTCAAATTCGTCATTTGAACTCATATGGTTTGAGCTCGTCTGATGGTTGAGCCGATCAGGCTCGCACACCACTCTGGAACTCGAGCCAGTCCTAATTTCACCTGCAGATGGAATTCGCCTGCAGATAGAATAAGCCTACAGCTGGAATCCACCAACAGCTAGAATCCGCCCGCAGCTAGGATTCCCCTATGGCCAAACTCTGACTGGTGCGGATCTGCGTTGAACAATGATAAAAACAAAAAAAAGGTGGGGCGCACACAAGGGAAATAATGACTAGGAACAACAGGATAATTCCATTCATTAAAAGGGATTCGAATACAACGATGGAATCGAAAGAAAATTACAAAGCTCTCAGCCACGACTCCACCTTGCGAATGTCCTCAGCACGCTTGAGCTCGAGCATCCTCAAAATCTCTCGACGAAGATCCTCCTCAGAGCGCGAGACCAAGTCTTGGACAGTGTGCTTGACCTCCTTGAGGGCTCGGTCTTTCTCCTTAATAGAACCAACAACCAGTTGCCATCGGGACTCAAGCATCAAGGCTCACATTAAAGCTTTTGATGCTTGCTATATCAATGAAACTCAAGAGGATACCCTCCTTGTGGGCTTTTTAATGATATGGCTGAAGCGATGCATAGTCCCATCGAAGCCCATTGAGTCCATCTTAGCTGAGGTAGTATACCCAGCCATTCTCTAGCCCATGGGAGGCTAGTAAGTCTTCTCTCTACGATAGTATGCTACTTGCAGTGCAACCTAAGGGAATTAACTTCCGAATTTCTCGACGTCGGGGAGATTGGCGTCACCAGGAATAAAATGTTAAAGACTCCTCAACCTCGTGTATCACTATTGTACACTTATTTGGTGGCCTGGTTTTTCATGCATTATCCCACATTGATGACAACGACGTCTCTAGATAGTGGATCCTTTATCCCATTTGTACAGCGGCTCAAGACGGCCCAATGGGCGAATGTGTACATAGTCCTAGCTTGACAGATCCTGTCAAAAGAGCTCAGCTACCATATCTTCTGTTGTTCTCCTAATTTTGATGGAATGGAAGAACAGTGCAAAACATATATGGATGTAGGTCCTAAGGGTTTCACATCCCTGCACGAGGGCATTTTCCAATGGCTCCTCATAATCAAGCCTGGTTATCTCGTTGTTCGACAAGGTGAGAGGTGCATTATTGAGCCTTATATGCCCTCTCGATTTGCTCGATAGTTTGGGTATGACCAACTGTATGTTGGAAATCCTAATCCGAAGTTGGATCTTGTCGAAAACTTGTATGAGGGGGGCCGAGCTTGGTATTACTTCACAGGTGGGAATAGCTGTGCAATATTTACATTGCCCTCTCCGACGCCTAACTGCCATACTATTCTGGAATTTTGTAGCTGGTTTTACGAAGCTTCTTAGATCCCAGAAGACAACATGTATACCTCCTGCTTGAAGGAGATCCAGGAATTGTATGAGTCTAGGAAAGACTCAAAGAAGACCCACCTGAAGGGGATGGATGAGTATTTATCATGCGAGCAAGCAACAATCAAAGCAGGAGAAGTCTGGGAAGATGAAAAAGCAATTGAGACTCGCAAAGGAAGGGCAGCAGGGAAGCGATCCCTCACTGCTAAAGAAGCGGACCGATATGAGAAGAGGGCTCATCGACGACTGCCCGTTGGGACTCCAACTTCTAAAACTTGTTGAGGGGGAAAACTAATGCAAGGCGCTATCAAGTCTGCCCCTCCTACGATTACAGATGATGAAGAGGAACAATTATCCACTCCATTAGCTTCTTCGCAACAAGGGCTCGCATCGCTTGGCCTAGTTTCAGAAGAACCAGTTGTTCATGAATCCACTAACCCAAGCCCTATGGCTCCTGGCACATTAGTGCCTTCCTCAACTGCTCCTCTAGGTTCAGAGTTTTTAAGAGGACTTATCGAGCAGCTGGAGGGCGGGATAAAATAGACAATTAACCTTGTTAGTATTGGCCGAGGTACTTTTGAGGATTTTATGCCCTTCTTAACAAGTTGCTTGAACAACATCAAGTGTTCGGTCAACACTCAATGGATCAAGCGCTGCACAGAGAGCGTCACTCACCTGAAGGCAGAGTTAAAGGCTCTAGAAGACTTGAAGCATGTTGACTTAGAGTCCGAAGCAGAGCAAGCTTTTGCCATCATTCGGATCGCAAATATACATTAACAAGTGGCTCTTCACAGGAATTTATCCAAGAAAGAGGCACATATCGTGAGTTTGCAAGAGCAGCGTGACCGAGTATGAGCTGAACTAGCCACCTCTGCTACTACTATTGCTCAATTAAGGGCTCAACTTGCTGAGGAGAAGGTGAATGTGCCAAGGCTCCACCTCAAGAGTACAGAGATTGATGATGCTTATGGCAAGTAGATGAAAGCTCATGAGGAGATCCAGAAAGAAGCCGCTGCTGCTGCACCTGTGGAAGCAGAGCTTTGGAAGGAAGCTACTGAACTTGTCCGAGTAGCCCATGAAAAGAAGCTTTCATATGTTAAGTTCAGGCTCACATCTATTAAGTTGACGGCCCCTGATACTTAGCTTCATTTGCCCTCTTTTTTTTTAGTTTAGTGCTGAGATTTGTATCATTAGCCCATGAAAAGAAGCTTTTAGATGTTAAGTTCAGGCTCGCATCTATTAAGTTAACGGCCCCTGATACTTAGCTTCATTTACCCTCTTTTTTTAGTTTAGTGCTGATATTTGTATCATTTTCATGACAAGTATTGTCACTTTGTAGCAACTCAACAATGTCAAATGAAAATGATATCATTTTGCCTTTCACTGTTCCTCTTCTTTTTTGTGTGTTGTGTTTTAACTTAGAACAATGAAAAGATTAAGAATGCTATAGGTGTAATGTTAACTTAGCATAAATCCAAAATTCTCTTTATTATCAAAATAATTCTAGAAAATTTTAATTGTCAGAGGTGTAATGTTAACTTGATGATATACAAGCTGGGGAAGGTTTGAGAGATTTGTTACTCTCAACTTAATGAATTTTGAGTAACTAACCCCCCGTCTAAGTGAGTTTGATTTCTCCTCTTAAACTTGGCCGGGGATTAGAAAAAAGGGTCTCATGATCTACTGATAGTATTTCTTGAGAAATTTCCTATTGATTGGCATCATGAGCCTATCACCTTTCTGATTAATGAGATGGTAAGCTCCATTCGAATAGACTGATGTTTGTAGTGAAAGTTGATTTCATTATCAAGGAAATCATTACAATCGTTTATCGACTTACAAGTTCAAATGAGTGAGCCTTTTTATAAGATTTCTCTCACACAAATAAACAAAAAGTATTACAACTCTCTCTTAAAACAAACACAGAGGACGTTTATCACGCGCTGCTTGCGTGGGATCTTTGCCTGTGCCGGGGACGTATTAGTCCGTGAACCACCGCGGATCAGATCTGGTTTGACAGAAGATTGATTAAAGCTCTTACTTTACAAAGAAAGTAATCACTAAAGTGATAATCTCGACCAAACAAGATTACGACTCTTCCCGAGATCAAAACAAAGTTTGATCCGGAGGAATGGGGGAATGAGGTTTCAGATCTCTCAAAATCCACTCTTTATGCATATAAAATCGCCAAGATCTAGCTATCCCTCTCTAAAATGCGTGGCTCTTGGCTCTGCAATTTGACAATACCTCGCCCTCTTTGATTATAACTCACCCCTCGTGAAAGAAGGCTCTAGGCTTATATTTATAGAGCTCCGGATGCAGGGTACTTGGATAAGAATGAGAGATTTGATCTTATCCTCAGTTGACAACAGCCTAACCATGTGTAGAGATGATATCAAGTCAGTTGGGAAACTCTGGAATGAATAAATCCCGTAAAAACCACTTAAAACCGTCAAAAACACGTTTAAGGCTCAGGACTGCGTGAGCCACCATTTGGTGGCTCGGCCTTGGCCGAGCCACTATTTGGTGTTCGGTATGCGTGTGAGCCACCAAATGGTGATCGTCGTACACATTTTAGCCAAGCCATTTGGTGCTCGAGCATGTTATGACCACTAGAAGGTACTCCGCCCATTGGCCCAGCCACTAGCTTTGGTCGAATTGTTTTGGTACGACTCGGCCACCAATGGTTGTTTTAGTTTTTAGGGTTTTGACTTGTTGCGTTGTTACTTGCATTTTGTCGTTTCGTTGACTTATACGCTTCACCGATTCGTTTCATACGTTCTGTTAACTTGGAGGTGTCCAGTGAGCGTGTTGACCACTTGGAGCTGGTCGGTGAGCATGCGGGCCACTTGGAGCTGTTCTGGTGGTCGATGAGCATGCGGGCCACTTGGCGATGGCCGATGAGCACGCGGGCCACTTGGTTTGTCATTCTGATAACCGATGAGCATGTAGGCTACTTGGTGGTGGTCGGTGAGCACACGGGCCACTTGGAGATGGTTGATGAGTGTACAGGCCACATGGAGATGGCTGGTGAGCGTACGGG